TTATTTCAGAGGCTTTTTCTATTTGCATAGAAAATAGAAACCCATGGTTTGAAAAATTACTCTGCGTGTTCTCTTGTGTAATTTTTTTTTAGAAATCAATCTAGAAGTCAATGGAAGCATTTTCGTACTTCCCACTGGCCTTTTTAGCTTCTACATCTACAAACACATCAAAACGCTTATAATGCCTTAAAATAGCGAAGCTAGCATTTTCCCCAAAAGAACCTGTAACATGAGTAAAAGAAAAGTCGGTCCAAACATCTCTATCATAGATAAGGGGGGAAAGGAACAAAAAAAATCCCCGTTTGGAAGTAGTTCCACTATGATGCATATTATTGTGCCTAAATGAAAACAAATTTCATTTTTATATATCAGTCAATGAAAGACATTTAAGTATAGATCACTGCACCCAGGGATTACATCAATCTATTTCATTTTGGTTGAGAATTTCTACGCAAGTGCAAAATGCATAATGCCATTTCTTCACGAAGCAGAGAACATTAAGCAATTGCATTTTGAATTGAAAGACCTGGAAGATCGTGCAGTATCATTCACTTAAAAGGTGATAAATGGAGAGAGTGAAAAAGAAGTGGTCATTTCTCATAGGCAAATTCATTGCATTCATAAACATAATATTTCTAAAAGTAGAAATCTTCAGACATTAAAACTTCTTCATCTTTCCCTAGTACAAAACCAAGCTCTAAAATCTTGAACCAAGAGAAATGAGAAGTAACAGAACCTCGTCATAGCTCTAGTCAATAACATTATTATCATAATAATCAGAAACACGTGTTTCACTTTCAATTGACTCCAACACTAAAAATAATACCATCAAAGAAAATGAAAATACTAAATTACATAAGTTGGAACCCTACTTTGAGACTTAAAAAAATAGGGATATTCAATTCTTATTTGGTTATTTAGTTATTGGTCTAGAATCGAAAACTTGATAAAATCTGTTGATTCTCAATTCAAATACTCATTTGGATATTTAACTTAAAAAGAACCACTCGATTCAGTTCGATCCGATTCGGTTTAAAAGTTTTGTCCAACCCTAACAAGTCCACTGTGCAAGTCAAGCTCTTCTAATAAAGAAAAAGAACTAACAAATTCAACTCAAAATATCTAATCCCTATTACTTTGTTGAAATATTCTGTTATAAATCCTCTACTGCCAATACCTTACTGTGGCCATTAGCAATATAGTCATATAGCAGAGTAGTGAGCAAACGAAATCATGTTAAATCCTTCACAGGAATTGGCATTTAAAAATAAGTAATTATGAAGAGAAAAACAATTGACATGCCTTGAGTCGATTCCTACGCCACCAGAAAGAGATAGTTTAAAAAAATGAAAGAGAGTTTATAAAATGTTTTACGCTCTACTCAACATTCTAAGAGATAAGTACTTCTATCCTCCTCAAAATGGTAAACACTTACCCATTGAATCGAAATCTTTCTCGAACATCAACGGATGGGGAGACGTAAAAAGTCCAGTATGAAGCCACTATTATGTAGAATTGATACCGTAAAAGTGCAAGTGGATCCCTTCACAATATCGTTCCATATAAAAACAATATCAGTGTAAATTCCATACACAAACATTCTTGATTGAAAAAAGTTCAATAAACTAAAGTTTTGTTATGCACACCATAATCACATCAACATCCAATTAACAAAAATTTCATTCTGTGACCTTTCTTGTGGTGCTCGCTTCATGAATAATATCAATACCTTTTTATTGGTTCCTTAATTCCAATATCTACAAGACACAAAAACTAAATTAGCAGATATAAAGCTCCAATGCAAAAATTCCTTAGCCTAAACTCCAATTAATTCAATAATTATAAGTGAGAAGAAGCATAAAAAGGTTGTGAATGCCTACAATTACAATTACCTTTTTGCAGATAAATGGCTATAAACAATCTGAAGCCAAAACGACAAAGAAACTTAAAGATATTGTAGATGATTAATAAAATGCAATTTAAAAATATACCTTTACAACTCCAATGTCTAAGACGTGTGGAGTGAAAGCTATTCCAGCAGAAGTGCTCATCCAGTCATCTGTAAAAATAAACAAATAAATAAATTCTCAAAAGTCAAAATAGATAGTCTCCCAAATGAAGCACTACAATAAATCTTGGATAAATAAAAGCAGAAAATCTTGCAAGTAAACATACCAAAAAGGAAAAAAAAAAAAAAAAAGGAACAAGAAAAAAAAAAGAAAAAAAAAAAAAAAAAGGAACAAGAAAAATTAAAAGAAGGGGACGGAGGTAGGAAAAGAAAGATTAAAAAATAATTACAAAATAGCAAAAAAAGGAAAATAAAAGCCCAAGAGTTGAAACTATTCCTATAGAATCCAGTGAATGGTTGGATCTTCAATTGCTACTTGAAAATCCAAAGAACACACAGCCTTCGTACGGAGGGAGAAAATGTTTCTTCTGGCGGAGGCGGATTGATTATCGATGGTTTCTTTGAGTGGAGGAGGAGAAATGGAGAGCCCCTTTGAAAAGTGGAGGCGGCCACAACCAACAAGCTCTGAGTTGGGAAATCAATCAACAAAGACATGATCAAGAAGAGGAGAGGAAAAGAGGAGGATGAAGGACTTGAGAGAATAATTAGAGAAAAGAAAAATGGGCAATAAATAATTACTTCAGATATTTATTCATGAGCAGTGGAAGATAATTCAATGAACAGTGAAAAGCTAGTTGTTGAACAATAATGGAACCAGATTCAGTGTGAAAAGGAGGCCACCAAAATGAATAATACTCGGCTATTCTCTCTTTTAAAGGAAGTAGGACATCCTCCTCCTCTTCCATTACCACCACCACGAGCTTTAATTTCTTAAAATCTGATTTACACTTCCAAATGCAATTGGCCAAATTCGACACCCTCTTCAGATCCTCCGTTTAGCCTCAATATATGCCAATTCATACAAATCGAACTCAGATGACATATTACCAAATCTGTGCAGAGTCATTCGAGAAGCCTCCACGTGGATTGGATCAATCTGCAAATTCTTCTCCAAATCATAAATCACTGCTCACCTACTAGCCTGTACTAAAAATTATCAAAAAGCTCAAACGTGTAAGATTTAATTTTCGGATTGAAGAATTTTTGTGCAATTATGGTTATAAAAAAGAGGAGTTGTTGCGTACTAACAAAAATGAAGAAAACCAAAAACTTGTTAAGAACAAATTTGAAGGCCCGAACACGATATCGTTGTCCTCAAATGATATTTGCCTCCTTTTTCCGAATTGTATGAAATGTTTAAGGGTTTTTCGACAAATGGTTTGAAAGATTAATCAACTTTGTTGCGAGAATACCAAAGCACAAAGTAATCCTACCAAAACTTGAAGAACACGAAGGAGGATGTTTGAATATGAGTGAAGAATCAGAGTTTGATTTTGATTGAGGAATGAATATTAATTTCAAGAGTTTTCAATGTATGTTTTCTTAAATCATGACTCTATTTTTTATAGACTTCGTGCATATGCATGAAACGGTACCAAAAGTGCAAGAAACGCCACCAAAATCAAATTAACAACATTTAAAAAGGGCATCTAATGGTCAAGGTTTTTTCTTCTCTATGCGACTGCATAGAAGGAACAAATGGGCCTCCAATTTTCTGCACATGCCCATGTGGTTACACGGGCATTTCTTCTATGTGGTCGCATGGGTATAAATTTTGGCTTCTATTTCCTATTTCTTCATCATTCCACTTACCGCACTTTATTGTTTTGAACAACAATTCTCAATATTCACATGAACTAGATCGACCTGCAAATTCTTCTCCAATTCATAAATCACTACTCACCTACTAGCGTGTATGCAGAAATGATCAAAAAGCAAGATTGAAATCAAGCGCGTAAGGTTTAATTTTAGGATTGAAGTTTTTGTGCACTTATGGTTATAAAAAAGAGAGGAATTGTTCACCAATTGCGAGTACATACTAACAAAAACCTTTTCTGCAACATATTCAAATTCATTTCCATTTCCAATTCGCAGCCATGCCTACCGTTATTGTCGACAGAGATCGCCTCTTCCAAGCACTAGGCCACGAGTACAATAAGAATCTTTCTCCTCTTTTCTCTCATATATGTACGTATATGTCTATTTTATATGCCATATATCTGTCTTTTGTAATTTTTTTCGTGGATATTAGCGCAAAAAGAGTTCGAAGATTTGTGTTTCAAAATCGACACTGAGCTTGATAATGTCATTAAGTACTATTATAGTCAATATCTCTGTGTGAAATACATTCAATTATTTGTACATTTTAGGAAACGGTGATTTAATTTTAGAACAAGGATGCGGTGCTCTATGTAACTGTATCTTGCTCTGGCAAAATACAAGAACTTGGGTGGTGGTGGTGGAGGAGAAAGAGTTTTTTTTTAATAATTTATTTGGAACTCGTTTGCACTTAGACTGTGTTTGATTACATTTATTTTCCATAAGAAATATCAATTTTTCACCCAAATTTCTACTTAAAGTGTTTGATTGTTATTTTTTTCCATGGAAAATATTTTCCAACTTTTGAAAATATACCTAATTTTCCTTGTTTTTAAGGAAAATATTTTCCTTGGGTAGATGTGATTTTTATTTTCCACAAAATATGAAAAATATTTTCTTTTCTAGGCAATATTTTCCATGTCAATCAAACACACTCTTATTAAAATAAAATTGAGGATTATTGCAATTATTTATTTATTTATTTTTCTTTTCTTTTTGTTTTAATTAAATTAGAAGATATATTTGTCATTTTACAATTCTTTATTGAAAAATTGAATGAAAATGATGATTTTCACAATAAAATGTGTAAATGAGGATGAAAATGCTAAAAAATGGAAAGTGTAAATGTTTCGTATGAATAACCCTATGTTTGAAAATAAAAGGTTAAATTCACATATTTAAAAACCTACAAACATGACAATATTTTGTACACTTGCAAGGTTAAAAGGGTATTCTCGATCTACCAACTTTGAATGAAATTTCAAATTAATCATCAACAAGAAAACTTCAAATAAAATATAAATAATGGTCTGAAAAAAAATTTAAAACCGTTAGATTGGAGATAAGAAGACATGAACAGAAAATTCACAAAATGCATCCACCTAGCTCGATTTTCCACTAAGATATTCCAGAACTAAAACAAAGACGGACCAGAGTGGATGCAAAACCACAAAACAATCTAAAAGATCACCACGAGTGCACTTGACTGAAAACTGCCTAGCTCGACTGAGCACCTGACACGGTCATAGTAGCAGTACCTTCGGCGTCGACCCTGGCACCAGCGTAACCATCCCATACAGGAGCAAGTTTTTCGGTAACCAAACTGTTTTCACTGCAATCATCCAATTTAACAATCTGAGCATAACTTTTCGTCATTTGCTTGATGATATCATCAGGCAACGCAACAACATTTCTGTTTTCATTTCCTCCGACTACCCCAATGTTCAACAAGCTGGTCTGCTCTCTCGCCTTCGTTTCTTGCATGGATTTTTGCCGGTCTTCATAAAAATCGAAATCATCAAGGATTGACACATCGGTTTCATACTTCTTGAAAATATTCAACATTTCAATACCTTGCTCAAATTTTACCTACACAATTTACATTCAGGACGAATAAAAGACCATAAACTTGAAAATTTCTGAAGGCGGCATGAAAGTCAGTATCATTTATAAACTGAAATGAGATTTCACAGAGATCCCACTTTTCAAACATCTTCCTCATTTACAAGCTACATGGATAGCCATCTTCGGAAAGCATAAGATTTGGAAAGTTTGTATCAGTCTAATAGCATGTTTGGCTAAGCTTAAAATATGAAAAAGTTGCTAAACTTTTAGTTCCCAAACATGTTTAGTGGTGTTCCTTAATTCTTCAAGTTTCAGAGGAAAAGCTTGGCAGGTAAGATCCTACCTCTTGTGTGTCTCGACTGTTGGTTACAGGCTTGTTATCGTTACTCTCAAGCACAATGTGACGAAACTGGCTGTTGGGAACATCTTTTATGACGTGCCACTTAACAGGAAACTGCCCACTCCATTTATCTTGCTGCCAATAGTCCACACTCTTCTCAAAATCTACAGGTCCTGCCATTTCAGCCACTCCACAAAACTGGGCACTAGCATTAACCTGCATAATGTCGCATAATACATGTAAAGCAAAGAGCAGGTTAGGGATTATACTGTAGTTAACACTATCAAAGACATAAAAAGAAGCTAAAATCTTGATACTGTCCATCCTCTTTGCTAATGCATGACAAACAGGCCTTTAGGTCATACAAAGAATGTAAGTGCTAAAGGTTGAACCGAAAGTTCTGAAAACTAGAACTGAAATTACAAAAAGAATTGAGAAATCACAATATCCGAAGTTGTAGAATTAACCAAGGCCAGACCATAATGTTTAATCAATAAAAAACCATGGAAAAACTGAAAATTTAGGAAATCATAATAGAGACTAATCCATTCATCTTTCTGCACACAAAAATAGAGATTCCCAAGAAGTGCACAAACAGGTATTGAATGGTAGAATTAAAGGTAGCAGCAGGCGTGACATTGAGAAATTCTCGGCAAGATGGACCAAGATATTGTGTAACTAACTAAGAAAATTAAGCATAGAAATATAGCAAAAATTTATCAATTTTCAGTTGTATCACCCTGAACTAAAAAGAAGAATGTCTCACCGAGAAAAAGAGAAATACAGGACAGGTGGTTTGCTTCTCCTTTGCTTCACGGTATGCAACATCCAGTTTTCGGTTTCCATTTGGAGTGCTGGCCCAGACACCATACTTGATGCTCCTGTGGACATTATCTTCGCTGTAAGATTTAATAACAAAAAATTTTGCATCTTTGTATTCTATGACAAAATCTTGGCAGTTGTTAGACATTCCATGCATCTTGGCCACAGTAGACAAATGTTTGTTAGCATCAGTTGATAGGTAATTTTCGGTGGCAATCTCGCCCTTTGATTTAAAGGCTCTTGGGCCTCGATTCTGCTCATTGAAAATGTCAATGGTACGACTACAACTGCATAAAGTACCGTTGCCTCTGCCACATAGCCTGCCATTGTCCAGAGCAAGCCAGGCCCTACCGTTAGTTCCCAAATTATAAGTAGTGTGTCCAATATTAGAACCTTGATTAAGTCGATGGCAACTATTATTGCAAAAATCTGAACCGGATCCAAACCCATAAAACGAACTTGGCTGTTGTGAAGCCTGCATGATATGACAGTAAACATTGCATAATCTTCTTAGCTTGCAAATTTAACTAAATAACAAATAGTCCCAATACCATCGTAACTAAAATAATATGAATAAGGTCAACAATTTTCTACAACTCATTAGATTTTATATGTTATTAGATAACTATAAAGGAAATACAACATCTCTGCAGCAATCGAATGTGATGTGGCTAGTAATAATGCATCAACATTTACAAATGACACCAGAAAAGCCAACTCAAAACCCCATGATACAACTTCTATATAAACATTGAGAGACGAGATGCAAGGTGAAAACTTTAGATCGAATGTTGCTTGATGTAGATAAAAGCATTATACAGCCTCCAAATTCAAATAAAAGACTCAACGAGAACGCACGACAACAATCCATATTTAACACAGCCTAAACCATGATTTTAGTAAACAACAGCCCACAATTTTAGAAATATAGACACAGTGAATAATGTTCATCTGTTCTAACTTTGAGGAAAAATAAACAATATAGAAAGCACTGAAGATCCACAAGCACGTATAAAGATCACAATGTCATAATAGGGCGTGCAAAGCTAAAAGAACAAACCGTTCCGACATTTTGCCCAAATGATCCAAAACTTCCGTTTGCTTGTGAAGATGCGGACAACGACACTGGAGTAAGAGGCCGCTGCCTATCTGAGGATTTTGGCCAATCAGACCAAAGGCCACCAGTTCTATATGCGTCAAATCCCTGCCACATATCCTGAAAGCCAACCCCTCCAGGGTTTCCAGAGTAATTTCCTCTACCAGAAGACTCAAATGAAGAGGCATAACCCATTCCTGGACCATGAAGCCTTCCATCAACTAGTTGGTCAACATTCACAAACGAGTCCGCTAGTGAAACTGGAGAAGATGGAGCAATATATGGCAGAGTAGGAGAAACTACTTGCTGATAATATGGTTGTCTAGAGTATGTATATTGCTGAGGTGAATATATAGGAGTATCACCACCGACAGGATGCGAAGGTGTAGAAATGGGGCCATATGGCCCATATGGCATCTGTAGGTTGTAGCCATAACAGTTATGAGACATAAGAGAAGGATTGTCATTATAGATGCCCTAGTAAGATTGAAATAAAAGAAAGTACAATGAGATTTATACAAAGAAATGAAAAGAAAACATGAATTCAAAGATCACCAACTTACAGGAGATCTAGTATTCAGCCCTTCAGTGTTTCTGTATAGAGGGAACTCATCCCATCCACCCGGAAAATTTTCATAACCTGGAGTTGACAAACCAAGTAGAATAAATCATTATTATGATCCACATTCAAAAGTTCAATGTGAAGCAGCATAAAATAAATTTTTATTAGGATCCACATTCAAAAGTTCATTGTGAAGCAGCATATGAAATGAAGTTGTGTGCTGCTTGGGAAATTATGACTATTATGAAGCTGAATACCAGATAGGATTCAGCTGAAACATGAACTTTCTCAATTCTAGACTACCTTCCCATCCCTCACTCTGAAAATGCATTGATGGGATGCATAATCTCATGACAGAGGTATCATTCCAATAAATTTGGAGGCTGTGAAGTTTACTCAATATTCGTCCTTAGTTCGGAATGATACCGTTTTCATGGATCAGATAAATCAATCCAAAATAGATTATAAATATAATTATATAAATCCAAGAAATAAGAAAGGAGGGCCTAAATAGTTAATCACGTCTATTTAGTCTCACGACTCTCATTACCCTCCTACTCAGACTCACCAGTCTGAGTCTGGGTTGAGAAAATGACAATGTTCCGCCTTACATTCTAGTTATGGATTTAGGTTGGTGCAAAGTGGGGTAATGTCCTCATCCCGTGCTTTATAAAAATCTATGTATTATTAATAGTGGGTTATATCTTTTGGCACAGGCCACCTATATAACTACAGTTTACAGACAATACCAATATTTCATGCTTATAATTTACCGCAAAAGTTTCAACATTTTACAAGTGGAAAGCCTAATATAGCATTGTCAACACTACTATAAACACACAATATTATAGGTTCAACAATCACCCAAATGAATTCACAAGGTCAAACAATCGATATTGGAAGCAAAAAGTTAGTTGAACTGTTCTAAAAGAGACCTTTAGAAAAAGAAATAAGAACCTTTATGGTAGATTGTGTGTGCCTGAGGGGCATAGAAATTTGGAGGATAAACTGAAAGATCACCATATGAGCCAAAAGATCTTGATTGACCAACAGCTTGTTCAAAATGAGATATAGCAGCACCCTAAGAAGGAAGACGAGAGACAATCTCTTAATATATTCCAAAAGCTGCTCATAAGAAATTGCNAAAATGAGATATAGCAGCACCCTAAGAAGGAAGACGAGAGACAATCTCTTAATATATTCCAAAAGCTGCTCATAAGAAATTGCGGAGTAGGACAGAAGAAGAACCCATTTAATAGATTCAGCGTAAAGATTACCTGTTCCTTCATGCTATCTGGCTCTCGAGAAGTTTCTTCTGCATCCATGATTGATGCGCTTGGTGACTTAGTAGAGTCTTAGAAACACAGGGAGCACAGATTACGACCAATCAAAGCTAAATACTGGAATATGAAAATGTAAATGTATCAATATGTACATACATATCCACAGGTACACATCTATGCACAAGTGATAGAAAACGAAAACATTACACCATGTGTAAGGCTCGATGTAATGCAATTTAGGTAATACAAGAGAGACATACGTGATCACCTCATACACAGAACACTCACTAAGTGCTTATTATCTTCCAGACATTCACTTGATTTCCAAATGTGCTTTTACTTTATAAACTCCTGATTCCATAAGTTTTGATTGACTTTTGTAGTGGGGAATGGTAATACCATCAGTTTTTGAGATGATTGTTAGTGTAAAATTTCCTTCTTTGCATCGTATTGCATTGGCGCAGTCTGCCATGGTGAATGATGTTTTAGATATACATAATGAGAGTCTCAGTTGAACCATTGTCTTTGGTCAGGGTTTACAAGACTGGGAATTTGATGATTATTCATTGCTTTTGACATCTTTGTATGAGGTACACGTCAGAGCAGGGAGGATGATGTAGTAGGTGGAGGTTGGCACGGGATGGTATCTTTTCAGTTGACACTTATTTTAAATCCCTATTGGGACCTTTGGAGAGTTCATTCCCCTGGAGAATGGTATGGAAATGTAAATTGCCTCCACGGGTGGCATTTCTACTTTAGACGGCGTTTAGGGGAAAGGTGTTAACAATGAATAATCTTCGAACAAGAGGTTTCTACGTTACAGAGTGGTGCTACATGTGGAGTGATGGGGATTGACCATTTGTTCTCTCATTATGATGCTGCTCATTTATTGTGGAACGATGTTTTGGCGTCGCAACACATGAATTGGGTGTTGTCGAGACGTATGGAAGACGTGTTAAAGGCATGGAAGAGAAAGTTTCACGATAAGGATAGAAAGCTTGTATGGGACCTTATTCCAGGTAGCATTGTACGGCGTGTGTGGAGAGAAAGAAACAGTCCCAGTTTTGATGATCGAACATGGATAAGTATAACAGAGCAAATTAGAGAATTGTTTTATTTGACCTTGTATACTTGGTTTAAGACTATGGCTATTAGGCATATAGACGAACTGTCCAATTTTTTGTTGTTCCTTTCAGATTTAAATTGAGAGTACACTTCTTGTGTATTATGCATTGATTAATAAAATATTTAATTACCTTTCAAAAAAATGATTATTGTATTTGAAAATTCAATATTCGTTCAATCTCTTATATTATTACTTGGAATATTTGTTGTTAGAGAATTAATATAGTCAAACTTTAAATATTTGACTTAGTTGGCAATTTTATTGTTGGTGTTTTATATATTTATTGTTTAGATTAAATTAATTGCACCAACATAAATTGACAAATTTATATATCTACAGTTACTTCTCTTTGCTTAGTAATTCATAGCGTAAGAAAGACATCTCATGAAGATACTAATAGTGCTAAACTGGAAAATTTTGATGGAAAAAATTTTAAAAGATAGAAAAAACAAATGGAATATTGGTTGACCGTTCTAGGGTTAATTTTTGCTATAAAAGAAGATAATGAAGTAATAGAATTTACCTCATGATATAACCTAGAACAAATTGAATTCCACTGGGATAATCGAATTTTAAGTGCTTTTTTCGATAGACTTTAAGATATTTATCAAAATATCACGAGTGCTAAAGAGATTTGGAAAACATTAGAGGAAGAATATGGAATAGATGAAGCTAGAGTCGATAGATTTAACGTGTCAACCTTTAACAAATATATTATGGTGGGAAAAAATCTATAAATGAACAAATCCTTCAATTTCAAGATTTACTATGACATGTAGAAGAAAAATGGTCAAGTTTTAGTGAGGACTATAATGTTTCATGCCTTATAGATAAACTTCCACCTTTTTGGTCGAATTTTTCTAAAGGTTTTAGACATAAGCAAGGGATTTTAACATTGAACCCAGTATTCAATTCTTTGAATAGAAGAGCATCATAGAAATCGTATCAACAAAGTTGATGAATCACATGCTAAAGCAAACTTGGTAGAAAATTCAAAAAACCCTACTAGCTCCTCAAAGCAATTTAAGTCTTGAGGTAATAAGAAAAACTCTCACTGTTATAGGATAAATTCCCATTCTAAGAATAACTACACTAAAGATAACGAAGGCAAAGAAAAGAAAGAGCAAGGGCCATGTTATGCATGTGGAAGAACCAACCATCTCGCTCGAGATTGCTACTACAAAAGGACTAAGGTGTACAAGCTTAAGGACATATTTCAAAAGGATCAAGTAAACAAGTTAAAGGATAGTAAACATTCCATTAGGTGTGAATTATCAACCTCTTTAGTCAATTTTACTTATACTAGTAATGAATGGTGGTTAGATTCTAGAGCAAATGTTTATGTTTGTTTTGAAAAGAGTTTGTTTAAATCTTATCAGACTTCAAGCGGAGAAAGCGTAACTTTAGGAAATAACTCCACCGCTTTTGTATTAGGAATTGGAAGTGTCGAGTTTGAGATGACTTCTGAGAAGAGTTTAATTTTAGATCAAGTTTGTCATGTTTCTGAAGTTACAAGAAATTTAGTTAGTGGATCATTTTTAATTAAACAAGGTTCTAAACTTGTAATGGAGTCAAATAAAGTTGTTATGACAAGAAATAATGTCTTTGCTGGGAAAGCTTATATTAGTGATGGATATTTTAAATTAAATATTATTGAAAATCTTCACCATAATTCTTCCATTGTTCTTAACGTTGAAGTTAGTTATTTGTGGCATGAAAAATTGGGTCATGTTAGTAATATAAAGACCAAGAAACTTATGGATCTAAACTTGATTCCAAAATCTCAAGTTGGCAATAATAAGTGTGAGGTTTGTGTACAAGCCAAACAAACTAAGAGACCTTTCAAATTTGCTAGAAGGGATACAAACTTCTTACAATTGATTTATAGTGATATTTGTTATTCTAATTGATCATCAACACGAGCTAGTAATAAACATTTTGTAACATTTATTGATAACTATTCTTAATAAATATTTTGTAACATTTATAGATGACTATTCTAAGCCCTTGTTTGAGACCCCATTATTTCCATCAAAATACAATCTTCAACAATGATTTGATTCCATTTCAACTACAAATTCTTCATTAAAATAATATTCCATGCATACTCAAAACTTTTCTTTATTTTTTAACACACATTTCTCATCAATACGCTATTCAAAAATGCATATTTTTGTCAAGAATGAGGCTCAAACAAGGGCTAAGTATTGCTATATTTATTTATTGAAAATGAAGGATGAAATCTATGATAAGTTCAAAATCTATAATATAGAGGTTGAAAATCAATTAGAACGTAAGATAAAAATCTTGACGTCCAATAGAGAAGGAGAATATACTAGGAATAATTTTAAGGATTATGTGAGGCTAATAGTGTAATACACGAAGTGACACCTCCTTATTCACCACAATCCAATGGTAGTGCAAAAAGGAAGAATAGAACTTTAATGGATATGGTAAATGCTATACTCAAAAGTTCCGGAACACTTGAAAACTTATGAGGGGAAGTTGTCCTAACTTCTTGTTACATATTGAATCGAGCAACTGTTAAGGACAATATTATAACTCCATACGTGCTATGGAAAAAGAGATCTCCTTGGTTAGATTTCTAAAAGTATGGGGTGTTTGGCAAAGGTAGTTATACTCAATCCTAAAAGAAAGAAAATAAGACAAAAAGATGTGGTTGTTGTTTTCATAGGATATGCTTAAAATAATAGCGCAAATAGGTTCTTAATTATAAATTCCGAAGTAACATTAAAAAAATACTATCATTGAAGCTAGAGATACTACTTATTTTGAAGATACTTTTCCATTTAAGACTATAATTTCAAGTGAACCCTTGACTTCTAAGAAAGTATCTAGTTCCTCTTTAGAAGGTAAAGTTGAACATGAACTTAGGAGTAAAAGGATTAGGAAAGAGAAATCATTTGGAGAATAATTTTTTTTACAAATCTAGTTGAAGGTGAACCTCAAACATATAAAGATGCTATGGTCTCTATTGATGCACCTTATTGGAAAGAAGCTACCAATGATGAGTATGTGTCAATTATACAAAATAATACTTGGATTTTATGTGATTTACCTTAAGATAGTAAGGCAATAGGATGTAAATGAGTATTTAAAAGAAAGTTGAAACCTGACGGAATTATAGATAAATATAAAGCTATGTTAGTAACTAAAGGATTAGGATCTGATTATTTTGACACATTTCCCAGTTGCAAGAATAACTACTATTAGGATATTGTTAGCATTAACTAGTATTGATAAATTGATCATTCATCAAATGGACAATAAGACTACATTTTTGAATGGTAATTTGGATGAAGAAATATATGTGCAACAATTACAATGATTTAAAATTAAAATACAAGAACATAGAAAGGAAAACATCCAAAGCAATTTCAATAAATTAGTCGAGTGCTATTAAAAAGATGTTGGAAAAATTTGGGCATTACGATAAGAAGCTAATTTCTACTCCATATGATTCAAATGTGCACTTGAAGAAGAATCTAGGTGAACTATGTCAATATGTTGTCAATTCATTGGCAATTGAAAAGTCTACATGTACATAATTATTGTAAATAATGTTGCCCATAATATGATGTGGCAATCATCTGATTGTTAATGTGAAAGTATAAGATATGGATTAAAGATTGGATCCAATGCCACGTATAATTATGGACACCATTATGTACATGTAGCACTTCCCTTACTTTCTTATATAGGAGATTTGATTACATTACCTAATTTGAGCGATTTGATGTATCATTCCTTCCTAGTATAAAGAATTCATTGTAAATTACCATATTTAGATGTTGTATTATATAAAGGGAAGCAAAACCTCAATTGAGGTATTCAAAACCAAAATCAATTATTATCAAACTAGTTTTGCAAGTTGAGTATTCTGAAATTATTGGATTTTTATTGTCCAATAGCAAATAGGAGAAGACCTAATATAGTCTTTGCTATTGGGAGACTTAGTAGATATACAAACAATCTAAGTAAAGAACATTGGAATGCTTTAGAGAGAGTGCTTAACTATCTTCGAGGTACACTAGATTATTCTATAAACTATAGAAGTTTTCCAAATGTTATTGAAGGATATAGCGATGCGAACTGGATAACTGATAATGTAGATATTAAGTCTACTATTAGATATGTGTTTATGCTAGGTGGTGGTGCCATATCTTAGGGCTCAAAAAGACGAACTATTATCTCTAGAAGTATTTTAGAGTCGGAATTAATAGCATTGGATACAACATGTACTAATGCTAAGTGGCTTAGAGATTTATTATTAGATATATCATCAATAAGTAAGCCAATTCTAGTTATTTGATTACATTGTGACTGTAAAGCAGTAATAGAGCTTGTAGATCAATCTCACTCAAATAAGAAGATGAATAGACATATTCATGCAAGACTTAAGTCAGTTAAGACCTTACTTAAGTGAAATGTGATATCTCTCAATTTCGTGAAATTTGAAAAGAATTTATTAGACAACTTAACCAAAGCTTTACCTAAAAAGGGTGTGATGAATCATCGAGGGGGATGGACTTAAGCCCGTAACAGAGTTACCTTCGAGAGTAACCCAACCTTTGCGATTGGAGATTTCATAAAGAAAGTTCAATCTGGTAGGAACAACCCGCACTGTGTGACTCGGAATAGCGCTATATTATTTGTGCTCATCCCTATAGTGATAGTGTTATGATTGTGATGTTAGGAATGGTTTAACCCTAAATAAGTACCGATGCAGGAATTCTCGCGAGGTGTAGGTCACACGCACCCTTGGAGGACTCATTTATGTAAGAGTTGTCATGAGGTCGTGACTATGGGATTTGACTATTCCCTAGAGATTCTTACTAGAATCAAGATAAAAGCGACCTAAATCAAAGCTTTGTCCATTACGGCTCCCTCGAGTGGAAATTGTTATTACTAAGTGAGGTTCAAATCCAAAAGACATATACACCTATTATACAGTATAATATTGCCACTATATAAATATATATAATTATTTTGAATGTTTTAAAACTTGTGGGGGATTGTTGAAATAAGTTAACAAACTTTCAAATTAAAACCAAAATTTCAGTTTTTGATTTTAATTTTTAAATTCAATACAAAATTTAATCTCATTATTATTTGTAACTTATGTTTAATTTGATTAATTTTCATTACGAGAGTGTTGAATTTTTCAACTATAAACGAGATAGATTTTCCATTATTTTACACATAAAAAAAAAACATTTGAAAAATACTCTCTAGTTATTTTATATTCTTCTATAATATTGGGAATTGATAATGGTTTGTTCTCTCTCCTTGTGGTCGTGCTCATAGAAGGAGGATCGGCTACGAGCTATAAGGATTTTATCTTGGAACCATGAAGTGTTGAAAGTACTCGCAAGGGAGGTCATACGACTTTAGGACAGCGTTTATCGCGACTCTCTTATGCCAACTTTTCTAACTTTATTCCCATATTTATATTATTTGACTCATGCTTATAGTTGATAATTTAATACACAAATCACTTAATTTTTAAAACAAATTTATATGCTAAATCATCATCAACAACCATATGACAAACTTCTGATGTAACCACAGATTGGTAAACCACAAAAAGATTAAACTTTATACTAATATTGGAAATGGATTACGCAAACAGAGGCATTTGAAAATGCAGGTGTCACTAAAAATAAGCATCCGATGCATTACAGATATGATTATAACCAAAAAGCTAATCGGCCGGCAGAATCATATGCACCAACATTATTCTAACACAAACCAGAGACTCAAGATCACCCTTAATTCATTGATCGACTCTGCGAAGTGAAAAGAAACAAGAATCAAAAAGTAAAATTCGACTTGGAAAGGATTTTTAACACAGATTAGAAGTACAACACAGCACCACAACCAATAGAATCACATTGGTTCAGAGAAGAAAAAAATAATTCAAAAACTGTACAACTTACCACTAGGGCGTGGAATTACACGATCAATGGCTTATAATTGGACTGTAGACCTTAAAATTGATGTGTAAAGGAAGGAAATTCATCGATCACTGCATAAAAGAGATCTCAATCTCAAAGCAAGAGTACCCGGGACCAGTTTTGTTGGGGTGGGGGCCGAAAGCAAAATTATGATGGAAATTTCAACTGCTACGTCATTCTTGCAGATTACAAAGACTTATAACTTATTTGGGCATGATTTGATTAATTTTCTCTACTTTGACGGATATCATTAATGCGAAATTTGCGAAAATTATACTGTTTCCTACAGGTGCCACCATTGCCGAGTCCTGCATAGTGAAAAATACGTTGAGGTAGCAGCACGGTCAGGGGTGACAAGGTTAAAATCTCATCAATTAATGAAAGCAAATAACTCCGCCATTTTTTATTTTTATTTATTTTTATTTTTGACAGACACCTTCCATCTGTAAAAAATTATAAAATTGGTGACGCACAGTAAGTATAGTTAAATCTCAATTATGGCGTGTTCACGTTATAGCTATAATAGTTGAAAAATTGATCAAACCATCAAGACTCGTTGGATTTAACATGGAAAAATCTGGCTCAAAATCAAGGAATGGCATTTAGCAGTTCTCTTAGTCGGCTTTTAAGACGGTCAAATTTCTTGTCCCATAAGATTATAATAGTCGAAAACTTGGTGGAACTGCCTAAATTTGCTAAGTTAGCATAGAAAAATCTGGCTCAAGGAATGATATTTCACATTTTTCATAGTAAGCTCTTAGATGATCAAGTCCCGCTTATTGTCCTTATCCGAATGGAATGGAAAATTCATGTCCAAACAGTAAACGAGACAAGGATAATGGTCCCCTTCCAGAGTTCCCGGAACTACTTCTAATTATTTTTTATGTTGTTTTATTTTTATACTTTTCAATTTAAGTCATATTTAAATAAAATAATAATATTAACAAATTAATTAAAAGAGACGATAAATGAAGATACTTTTAATCCAGTACAATTCTCGAAATTCGTCGACTATGTGGGAATAATTAAATGACATCCCCCCCCCCCCACTCCCCCCTCCCCCCATTTTCATCCCTTCCAAGGGTTGCATTAAGTTCTATTCCAGCTTCTAGTGAAAATTTTTGTGCTATGAGTTGGACTTTACATATTATAATTTCATTATTTTCATTTATTTTTCTTACAAAACAACGTGTATCCAACATGAATTATATTTTCAAGACTTTTAATACGTTCAAACATTTTTCTTTTTATCAAGAATTCAGTTCTATGGCTTCTTTTCATTTTAGTCCAACATGAATTATATTTTCAAGACTTTTAATACAGGTTCAAACATTTTTCTTTTTATCAAGAATTCAATTCTGTTGTATGGCTTCTTTTCATTTTAGTCCGTCATTTATATGTGTGACAGTCTTTAACATATTATGGTTCACGGTCCTCATTTTGTAGAATTTCAATAGTCATGTTAAAGAGAAAATACAATCGATAAATAACTTTTTTCCCATAATTATGAGATGATAAATAATTTTTGAAATTTCATTATTTTCGGACATTTGTGGTTCAATAAAAATCACATTATTTTTATTTTATTGATCAATCACTTTATTCAATCAAGTTTTTTTTAAAGAACTTATGGACCCTTCGCGATGAATCATTTGATTTTCAATCCATCTGAGTTGTGCCGAAAGAAAATAAGTTATTTTGTACTATCCTACAGTAATTCTTTGTTTTCTTCTTTTATTGTATCCATCAGACCCTTTGAAATAAGATGAATTTCAATATCGAGAGTCCATGTTAGATAAATTTTGTTTGATAAATCAAGTGGAACAAACTCAAGTTTTGTAATCTTTGTCATTTGATATGATTATATAAGAATCAATATCCACGTGACATGAATTGTGTCTTTTCTTTCAGGGATAAAATTAGTTATAAATTACACAATTAATATATTCTTCGAGATATGTGTTACTTCGAGAGCATAATAAAATATAATTATTACCATTTTTCATTTGAAAAATTATATTGTATTTTACTATTATTTCTTTACGATCAACATGTCAATATTCCTCTAAAATATTAAAACTGTAACATCATATTCTTAAAGAGCAAATAATATTTTTTTAACAATATTAATATAATATTGTGCTACTTTAAGAGCAACAATATACAATTATTTAAAATATTAAATTATGTAAGCATTTACTCATCAGGAATGAAAACATAACATATATTAAATTTTATAAAATTATGCTATTTGAGAGCAAGTAATTTTAGCAGAATATTAATATTTGTATAGTTGTCCTTCTTCATGAGCAATAACATAATAAATTATTGTATAAAAGGGATCAATATTAAGAACATTGGTGTAACTATTTAAAAATATTGCAAGAACATGCCTAAAAGGAAAAAACCTGACTTCCAATTAATGTGTAACCACACACATATTAATAACATAGTACTATTCGATAGTCATTAATTAAAATTTATAAAACAAGAAACTGACTACAAGTTCAGGTGTAAATTTACATTCATACAATACTACTAAATAATCAAAAATAATATTAAAAAACATACATATTATCTGGTTCACATGGACCTACATGAAAAAACTGACATTATTACGTTCCAAAGAATGGACTTTGATTGTGATTGTGATTGAAATTTAAATTTCTTTTGAAATACAGAGAAAGTAATGTGGCCTTCTTCTTCTTCTTCTTCTTCTTCTTCTTTATTTCTATTTTTATTTTTATTTTTTCTTACAAGAATTTGTTTTTCCTTCCTCGACTTGGTTAAAGATTTGTGAGCAGAAAGAGAAATAAATTTTGCTAATTCAATTGATTGGACCAATAATAATTTATAAATTAGAGAGAGGAAGAGAAAGAGAGTAAAATAAAGATGTCAATAAACATATAACCAATAACTTATATTTACAAGGAATAATTAGGACTGTAAGTGAAATAATATTCGGGATAATTAGGATTGTAAGGATACAATAATCATTGACTAATTTGTATATAATATAGATATAAAAAAACGTGAAAAGTGATTTTTTAAGAATGCGTGATTAAAATAAGTGAAAAAATAATGATTTTTCAAAAAATGACTCACAGAGGAAGACTTTCATGAGATATAATGCATACTTAGTCTCAATTTTGAGTCGAATTTCGCCGATATAATTTGTTAAAAACTCAAAAATATTTATTAGGAAAAAAATTAAGGAATGCTGTAAAATATTAGATAATTGGGACGTCTATTTGGTCTTATCTATATGAGCCTACTACACGGGCAGGGCCTACAAGACCCTGTCCATCTAGGGGGCACACGTGGCGCCCCCTATTGGCAGGGGTCCGAGGCACTGTCTGTGTAGAAAAATCCTATCTATATAGCTAGAAAATAGTACTATTTACTCTTGAATTTGCATCAATTGATTACTATAATTTATGGGGATGTCCTCAATTCAGAGTTGAATAGATTTCTTAATATTTATAAATTTCCATGGATTGTATGGTATTTATAGAATTTAATAGATTTCATAAGATTTGAATGAATTTTTATTTTGTAAATTTTCATGGATTTTATAGATTTTAGTGGATTTGGCTAAAATTTCTACAGTTCTTTTTTGATATGCTCGAATCATGGCTTACTCAAAATCCAGATGTAGTAGGATTCAAGAAAAATGGAGAGTCCACATGCTCTTTTCAAGATTATCATGGCTTTACATTTAGTTCATAAATATTATGTAATGGATCATTACAAATTTTCTAAAAAAAATGGTTTTACCCACATATTCAACAGAATGCGAGAGAAGAAGAAGAAAAAAATCAATATTATTAATTTCAATAAGAAAAAAATCATAATTGTAGGAAATTAGAGAGAGAAGAAGAAAAACTGTTCACATTGGGAAAGGGAGAGAGGTGGGGGGGGGGGTGAGAAAAGTTGTGAAATTTTTAGGTTTGAGATAAAATTATTATAGATTTTTGGTATTTATATTTATGGCTTGAAATCTTTCAAAATCTATCTAACTAATGAAATCCTTTTAAATCAATTAGTTATCAAGGACACTTAAATTTCTAAAGTACCTATTAAATTCTATATTAAGGACACCTAAATTTATAAGTATTTTTAAACATTCAGATTGAGGATATCTACATTTTAATGAATTAAATTTTAATCTCAATTTATATGGAGTTTTAAAATCCAATATGTGTGGGTCATTATTATAATAAAATATGCAGAATATTTGACTCATAGTAAATTAAATTTATTGAGATACATTTTTATAATCTATCAATATTGAAAACAATCCATTGTAATGTTAAATTTATTTCGTTATCTACAGATTTTTCCATCAATTATTGTTAATTTTAATCCCAAAATTTCTTTTGATAAATTTCTTTTCTCGTGGTGTGGTGTGGTGTGTTGTGTTGTGTTGTGTTGTGCATTCAAGATGTCAAGAGATCGCCGCATTCAAGATTTGCTCTTAGAGCAGGTTAACGAGTATTCAAAGGCGATGGGGCTGTCATTGAAGGAAGTGAACCTGAATGGATACCAGATGTTTCGAGGCTTTCGCCAGGTTCCATCATCAAACTTTATGCTATTTGTTCCCACGGACATGTTAGGCTACGAGTAAAAAGTTCAATATAAGTTTACTTAATTGGTAAAAAGTAAGAGCATACGAGTTGTTTTTACAAATTTTTCTAGAAAGAGAGTTGAGAGTTACATTCTGGTGAGGTGAGTTTCGTTGTGAAAAGAAACAAATTTGAAATCCTATTTGAGAAAGTAACCTAGAAGTAAATTTGATTAAATTTAAAGTACGACCAAAAATACTCTTAAACTAAATACATCATTTGTATTGGTCGAAGTTGAAATGGCATTTAGGTAAGAGTTATTTTCAACTTATGTGCTGTTTTTTCGATGAAACTAAGAAAAGTGCAATGTCCAAACATGTTTCAAGCAAAAAGTTACTATAAAAGTAGCTTGTACATTTTTCAAGTCAAGCCAGACATGCTCTTGAGCTTTAAGATCCTAACCTTCAAACTCTAATGGCAGTACTCAGGTTGACGAAATACCAAAAAAGGTATCCCCAATTGCAACTACTGGCAATTCAAATTCTTTGCCAGAACTACGATGGCACATTGAAATTTAAGCTCAGGAGGAGTTTGGCTCTGATGCTCCTCTCGAATGGAAAGAATTGCATAGAGAAACAGAAGCTAAGAGATTTAATATTTGTCCATTACAATATGTAGCTACAGATTTTTGAGTCGAGTGAGAGAGAATGTATCTTTGGCGATAATGAAATCAACCCAATGGATGATTGGATGTTGATGAAGCTCAAGATGATGATGCGACTATGAACCAGCATGGGTGGACTTGGAAGCTGATTCTGGGGCAAGCAGTGCATAAGGGCCAGTAACCTTTAGCCCAAAAGCAAGACGCTTTGTGATTATATAATTTTTATCTATAGCCATGTATGCTAAAACCTGTTTTGATGTAAATAAGAGAGATAATGTAGCAGTATTCTATAAACTGTACAAGGTGTTTTGTTCTTTCCTGTATATCTATCTGAATGATGGTATCAGTAGTTGACCTAGAAAGACCTTTATCATATGGTCGACGCTCAATCCAACTGATCTTTCACATGGGCCATGTAGCCCCTAGACAAGTTTAGGGAAAATTGTTAGGGATATAAAGATTCAAGTCTCTTTATACGGCTAAATAAAGACCTTTCTATTTTGTAGAATTGTTCTTTTTGTTATGCATGATATTGATGGGGTTGAAAGCAAACCTCTCTTTAAATACTGAATATTGCACTTTATTCTCCTGCTATTGTGGACATCTGTGTATATGCATCTTTGACCTTATTAGACTTTTTTTGAGTTTACGGCCCGCCATGGAAATAATATGGCTACTTGCGCTAGATAGTCATGCATGGACAAGAAACCATCAGTGGAGAATCCAGAAATTTAGGTGAGCAGGGATGGTCGCTCGATAAAAGGAAAAAAATTTCCCAATACAGCTAGGGGTTACCGTAGGGCTCGCCGAGTGCTGGCTCCATCCTTGGAAACCATGTTGTTCGGTAGGCTTAGGAAAAAAATGCACGTGGCAAGGCAGTGCTTGCAAATGCTAATTGTTGTACAAGCAAAGCATAGTATTCATTGGAACATCGTCTGTGATGAGAGATCGATATGCCTGGGTGGGTTGATAATGTTTATAGCCTTTGTTAGATTGGGATCTGGACTGCTTGTGTATGCAATCTTGAAGGGGTAAGCAAACATAGGCATTGAACCTTTTCATTTAGCTGCACTGCAAACTTCGTTAGGGATAATTGCCCATTTGGACTTCTGAACACCAGCGGGATAAGGTGGTTTGCTACAACTGGAAACTAGTGGTGAATATAATTTTTATGGCACAAAAACCAATCAAAAGAGCAAAATTCTTCTATAATTACACCACTATTCTGTATCTGTATACCTTACTTCTCCTACATGCTTCTATGCAAATGGGACTTCAGTCATATAAGAAAAAGAAGAAACGACTGTTAAACATTTAACACGATATTTCCTTTAGGCTGAAAGGTACTTAAAATGAAGCATCTCCACTCTGTACCATCCAATGGAAGCAAGAAGAGCAATTGGGCCTGCAATTTCAATGACCAAATGATGCTTTACTCTTCACATTTCTGTCAAGATTCATACAATATATGACTGTATAAACAATTTCTAAACGTATACGAGACATGACATCATTAATTTCTATGTACACGTCTACGAAGCAGAAGTGCCAAAACTGCAGCACTTTGTTTTTAGAGTGTTGCGACTGATTTGAGTCTTGAGTTTTTTTTTTTTTTTTTTTGAAGTGCTATATGTACATAATTGTTTACATAATCGTATCCATAATTATACGTGGCACTAGATCCAACCTTTAATTCAAATTTCACACTTGCATATCAACAACCGAATGATTGCTACATCACATTATAGACACCATTATGTAAAATAATTATGTATAAGCAAAATTTTCCTAATTTTATCTGGAACCCGTAGTCAGCCTCTTCTACCAGCTTAGTGGCTGCATGAACTGTAATGCTCTGAATTTTACGATCCTGGAGTACTAATATACATTTCTTATCATAATAATCATAACAATTGAAATTTGCTTAAAAAAATAATTCAAAAATTACCAACGTATGAAATTTTAAATGAGTTTCCAGAAACAGGCTTTAATAAAAGCAAGAAGGCTGAAGGCTAATACTTTGAAACTTGCATTCGAAAATAATCCGGACGTTCAATTAATTAAAAACATCCTAAAAGTCTCTAAATTTACTTGGCGACCTTTGGCACAGCAATTCCATCTAAACATCGAACTCAGCCCATAATCTACGAACATTTCGATGGATTAGTATTTTGGAAAACACTTGATAAGATACATAGAATTTTTATTCAAACATAATGTAAATGTAAATCACAACATGAACATTTTATAAATAATAAAATAATCGACTCCAAAATGTATTTTCATTTTAGTCGATGAACATTTCAAGATTATGAAAAGAGGCCCAATATGAATCCTTAGCATTCAATGATCATTATCGTCTCTATTTAATCTTATTCTTTACTTTCTCATCTAATAATATATTTCTCAATATCTACAATTTAGCTTCTTAACTTTACACTTACTGCATTTAGGCTCCAACCTCCAGTCTTAAACCTAAACCCAATTTCTCATTACGAGTCATCATTACAATATTTTCAAGACCATAAATTATGGGTCTTAATTTTTCACAAAAAAATTCATTTCAGTCCTTAAAATTTCTAGAAACCACTGAAGACTATACAATGTGCATTTTTTAAAAGAGAATTCCCATGGATCCTCCTCAAGGTCACCTTTCTCCATATTGATCAATGCTTCGAAGTCTACAATGTGCATTTTTGTTCCATCAAGAAAAAAAACAGAATCTTCTGTTAAAAGCTTTCTCGTCTGCAACGACTCATCAAAAGGTGAAGATTTTGACTTTATACTGGTTATCCCGAATGCCAGAACTTTTCTCCCATAATAAACCAGAAAGGATTGCTATTTGCTTATTCACTTCATCTTTAAAAAGTTTTCTGCAGTCCAAGTAAGCAATCAAAATAATTAGAGTCACCAATAACATTTTATAATGTATATGAAAATTGGCGGAAAAAAAGTTAATGGTCACCGATTGTTGAAGCAGTTTTATTACTGCAGAATGTTTTTAGACCAAGCAAAAGAGCCAAGTTGATGACTTTCCCCAATCTGTCAAATCATAAAACAACTTAATGGTATCTACATTTTCCAATATCATGCCACAATTTCTAGAAAGCCTTTCAAAGAAAAGAGGAGTGATACCAAGCAGACGGATGCACGTCATCTTGAAAAGGAAAAAGAGTGAACATGTCGAAGAGGAAAATTATAATGATGCTATCAGCTACATTCTCAGTTCAAGAAGGAGAGTCTCTTAACAATGGGAAGAAAACATAATTAACAAGCAGGCAATTTCACTTATGATAGAAACTTAGGCAAATCAATTACTCTAAAGATAAAAGTCTCACTGTCAGAAGAGACCGACCCTAAGAAGTGGGAGGAAACTTCCTTTTGGAAATAGACAAACAAGTAATTTTTTGTTCTTTTCTTATAGTTAGATGCCCAAGAGAGAAGACACGCCACTTTTTCTTCTAACCATATGAAATCCATACTTTGATGAGACATTTGCTTCGTTGGCTAAAATGACCACCATTCATCTCTTGTTATCACTTGCCACCTCTAGGTCTTGGTCTTTGCATCAAATAAATGTAAAGAATGCATTCTTACATGGAGACCTCAAAGAAGACGTTCGTATTAAACTTCCATCAGGTATGCGTATTCCCTCGACTCTATATGTAAACTAAAACGATTTTTTTATGGTTTCAAGCAAGTCCCTCGAGCATGGTTTGACAAGCTCCGCTGCACTCTCTTGGATTTTTCCTTTACCCACAGTCAGTAGAACGCATCTGTGTTCCTTCACAAGAGTACTACTAGCATTGTTCTCTTGTTGATGTTTGTGGATGATATTATTATCTCTGGCTCTGATGACATACTTATTCAGAAGCTCCAACGTCTTTACTTTGTTTTTCTTATGAAAAACTTTGGTCGTCTCACTTATATTCTTGATTTGGAGGTTAATTCAGCACCACATGGCATCTTCTTGAATCAATATGAGTATATTAAAGACTTGATTAGGTTGGCTAATTCATCTGAAGCCTTCTCAGTTGATACTCCGTTGGAAGTTAATGTCAAATACCTAAAAGATAAAGTCGATATTCTTCCAAAACTTACTCTAAATTGGAGGTTGGAGGAGATTCCGATCTATCTCACCATCACGCGTCCAGATATTTCCTTCGCAGTACATACCGTAACAAATTTATGGATGCTCCTTGTCATCTTCATTTGGTGGCTGTCCGCCACATTATTAGATATCTTATTAGGACTCTCATCGTGGTCTATTCTTTCCTAAGGGGACGTCCCTTGAGTTCACTGTCTATAGTGATGCTGATTGGGCTGACTGTCTTGATTTTCGTCGATCTACAACTGGGTGGTGTATCTTTCTAGGTAATGTTCTTATTTCTTAGTAATGTATGAAATAGGATTGTGTTTCTAAGTCCTCCACTGAGACTGAATGCAGAGATTGTGTGGTTGCAAAGCCTTCTAGTAGAACTTGGAGTTCCCCAATCACAGCCTACACCTCTCCATGGTGGCAACACTAGCGCTATTCAAAATGCGACATCCCAGATGCCTATGGTTCTAGGGTCATAACTCTTCCCGACATTTCCACTACTCAACAAATCATTGATATCTTCACCAAATCCTTGCCTAGCCTTTATCATGATTTTCTTGTAGGTAAATTGATGCTTGTGGACTCACCAACATCAAATTAAGGGGGGTATTACATCATTTATAGCTAATTAGGGGTTTCTATGTATAACTTTTATAGAATTGGTAGCTGCGATAAAATTAGGGACGTTAATTTTGTATAGCAAACTTCTTTCCTTAATTTTCTTTGTAATAGTCTATAAAGGAAAGCAATACATGCCGGTAAGAATCATTGAGCCAATTCTTGTCACTCCAAACAAGGTTGTCAAGAACTTAATTTTGGATCTGAGCAGCCGAGGGGTCTTCTGAAGAAAATATAAATTACGGAAGACACTTCCACATGGGATAGAAACTAAACCGAAGTGATTACTCTAAGAGATCCATCCAAAGAGAAGGAAGGAAACTTTGTGTACAAACTAGCCAACAAGTAATTTTTTTTCTTTCATTATAGGTAGATGCCAAGAGAGAATACACTACTTTTCTTTTCCTTTTTTTTTTTATGACCGTGGGTGTCCGGACTAACTTACGCGCACCTCGACTAATCCCACGAGCCCTAAAGTTTATAGCCAGGTACTCACCTCAATGACTCTGATGAAACTCGAACTGGTGACCATTGGAAAGCAAATCCAAACTTGACCACTGAACTACCCTTAGGGTTGAGAAGATACACTACTTTCTNCGCCAGCTTCCATCTGCTCCTATCATCCTCTCCCACCTGAATATGCATCTCGTGCAAGGAGGTCAAAAACAGTGCATAATCATCCAGTTCCCAATCCTGCAAACCCCTCTCAAAGGCAATATTCCAGCTATAATTTCCATTATGTATGGCTAGGACATCATTCACCATAGCGGTAGGCTCCAAGGCAATGCGATGCAACGAAAGAAACCGTGCCTTTAGCAGATAATCTTCACACCAACAATCATCCCAAAATCTGATACTATAGCCATTTCCCATCATATAAGTCAATTTCTCTCGAAAGTCATTCCATCCTCGTCGGATATACTTCCACAAACTCACCCCATAACTTCGAGCCCCACTCGATCATCCTAACAACATCGAGATTGTTAACAAAAATTGCAAACTCTTCGCCTCCACTCGAAAACGATAGTTGAATACCATGCCGTCTCCATCCATTAACTTTCTCCCCTGATTGTGTATAAATGGCACATTTGACGATGGAATAGGCATCGTAGGTGGTCAGGGAGCATTCTAGAGAATTTCCAGGTTTTTCGGTAACGGCGCATGTCCTCCACGCACCGTTTCGACGACGCGTGCATCTCGCCGCCCTGCCTCCCTGACCGAAATCACTTGCACAGCCCACCGGTCAGACGCGTTTGCCTGGGAAGTGGCTGGAACCGGCCGAATCTAAGTTAGGGCTACAGTCCAATTCACTTCACTATCCGTAATAGTGTTTCTTCCACCAATTTCGCCATCTCCCATAGCCGCCGTACCATCCCAAATAGTCTTGCCACCAGTCGGATTGACTGTTTGAGCAGCG